ACTGCACGTGTGTTAACAAACTGCACATGTGGGTTTCATACACTTCTATACTCACAACAAAAAGTTTTCTTTTGCCAGGCGGAGGTGGTGCACACCTTTAATCCCAGCACTCGGGAGGCAGAGGCAGGCGGATCTCTGTGAGTTCGAACCAGCCTGGTCTACAAGAGCGAGTTCCAGGACAGCCTCCAAAGCCACATAGAAACCCTGTCTCAAAAAAACCAAAAAAAAAAAAGTTTTCTTTTACAGCTACTAAGTTAAGCACAACAAATATTCTCCAAAAATGAGCTGCCTTGCTGCTTTTTCATGATGACATGACAGCTTCTGGGACATAATTGTTTCAAGGTGTGTCATGGGCTGGAGTGACAGTCACAACACGGTAAACGAAGCAGCCTAGCTCCATGAGTTATGCAGTCAACGTGTCTCTCCATCACTCCACAATAAGCACAGGCAAGAGGGGAAGGGACATGCTCCAAGTTCATCAAGTACATACAGTACATACGGATAATACCTGTATGTAAACCCATATATAAAAGTCATGAAAGATGGGTAAGTGTTCTGTTGTTGAATCTGCTGCGTGTATTTCATGGAGTCCATCCCAGTGTCTGCTGTTAAAGGAGAATATGGCCAATGACCCGAACAATATGGCCAGTGACCCGGTCACGTGGCTACCACGGATACTGTGTTCTCCTGGCTGGACACAAACAGCTCCTGCTTCTGATTATTTCTGATGATTCCATCCCAAATTATTGTACCATTTTTTCCTTCCTTGCCGAAACAGGTCCGAGCAATAGCTGGCCACTGAGATGCTTGTGACAGCTCTAGGCTAAGGAGGTACATAACTGTGTACCCAGATCCGTGAAGTTTGTAGCTTGCTTTTTCCTGCAAATAATTAACAGTGATTCTTTTTCTTAATTTGTATTAGTCTTATTCGTTTATTGGATAGCTCAGGTGTCGAAGTGCAAGTGTGGGGATCAGAGGACAAATTGATGGAATTGGTTCTTCTATGATGTGTGTCACAAGGATCAAACTCGGGTCCATCTGACTTTTCAGCAGCCACCTTTACCCGCTGAGTCATCTTGTTGGGCCTGTAATGGTCATTCTTGGTCATCCTTCCAAATTAATTTTGAGGTTAATCTATCCAGTTCCTGTCAAATTGTGTTGGGATTTAGCGGCAATTGCCTTTAACGTGCTTTGGGATTATCTACGCTAACTGGACTGTTGGTACAGCGCCCCCTTGTGTGCACTGAATGTATTGAAGACCACGGTGCTGGCTTCAGGAGGCTGGTGGCCCGCCCACTCAGATTAGCCTTTACTGAATCTTGCCACATGTCACCTTCCACTTTAGGGTCTGCTTGGTCCATTTGCGGGGTACGGGTTGGATTTACCCATCAAAATCCTGAGCTTCTGGGGCTGGATAGATAGGTCAGTGGTTAAGAGAGTTGAATGCTCTTCCAGAAGACTTGGGTTCGATTCCCAGCACATACATGGCCACCCAATGGCCACCCACAACCCTCTGTAACTCCAGTTCCAGGGAATCCCGTGCCCTCTTCTAAGCTTAATACACATTAAGGCAAAACAGACACACACACACACACACACACACACACACACACACACACACACACACTTGGTTTTGTTCAAGATAGTTTCTCTGCAGCCCTGGCTATCCCAGAACTCTTTTTGTAGACCTGACTGGACTGGAACTAAAAGACCCACCTGCCACTGCCTCCCAAGTGCCATGGCTAAGGGCATGCACCACCACACCTGACCTATCTATTTATTTAACCACGGGCTTTCAAGGAGTGTGCGGCATTCACACATGGGCCGGAGCCCACTGCTGCAGCACACGCCTCCCAGGATCGTAGATTGTCCCTTCCTCAGCCCACCTTGTCACCGTGCCTCCCACCCAGCAGTGTGCTAAAGTGTCACTGAGTCGTAACTCTGGCGACACTCGGGGTCAGGCTTTGTTTGATGGTCCAGTCCAAACAGACAAAGAGTCATGGCTGTAGTTCCATTTTCCACACCTATAGAAAAGCTTCTCTCGTCTTACTAAAAAGCACCTTTTTTTTTTTAATTCTCACTAGTCTTGGCTGTCCCGGAACTCCCTATGTAGACCAGGCTAGCCTTGAGACTCACGGAGCTCTGCCTGCCCCTACCAGCTGCTTGGGTTAGAGGCCCGAAGCACTGTGCCCTGAGGAGACAGTATTTTCCATTGGTGTCGTCTCATTCTCTGCAGGAAATAATTAAAATATTCTTTGGCTGGAGGAAAAATAATGTGGGGAGGAAGAGGGCTCAAACCACAGCGCTAATTTCCAAAGCAAACCGCTCCCTCCTTCCCCACAGCCATGCTGGCCGCCCTGCTCTGCAGTCTGATGCATTTTGCAGGAGCTGGGAAAGCGAGCCCAACAGATAGAATCCCAAAGCATCCCCTGCAGCTACAGAGACATCAGCTGCCAGGCAAAAGCTTCCATTCTGAAAAAGTAAGCCAGTGTCCCGTCTGAGTTTTCAAGGCTACTTTTTCTAACAGGTGAAAGGCCAACCTAACTAACATCAAAGGTTGTCTCCACAGCCGGACACCGTGGCATCTGTCTGTGATCCCAGTTCTCCACGGCGGAGGCTGAGGCAGAGGGAGCAGGAGTTTGAGGCTAGCCTGTGCAACATGGTAAGACCCTCTCTCAGAAAGCAAAAAGAAACAAATGCCCCAGGTATCTTCGGGTACTCAGATGCAACCACAGTCACCTATTTCTGCAGATGACATCATTGGTGATAACCAAAATTTTGGCAAAAGCCAGAGACGGACAGGGATAGTCTCTAGAGGGCAAAGTTTATGCCAGGTGCCCCGAACAAACGCCAAACAACTCATTTTAGAGGCCTGTGGCTCACTGGTTCTCACATCCATTTCCAAAGCTCTAAACCTGCTGTGAGAGAGAAACCATAATGAAACACGCCCCACCCCACCCCCGCCCCCACGTACGCTGACTCACATGGACTGTGGCCCGGGATGGAGTTCTGGCTCATGATTTTGCAGCAAGGACCCAGGTTGGACCCTGTCGGTGGCCAGCTGCGGGGCCTGCACCAGGCCCTCTATTTCTGTGGCCTCCTGACTTTGAGCGCAATATGGAAGAAACGCAACCACCTCCCTGGAGGTTGCCTCCTGCTCAGTACTTGAACACCCAGCCTGTGCAGCTTCGGGGAATGTGTAGCTACCGGCTTAATTATGGTTTCTACTGCTGTGGTGAAAACACCACCGTCAAAGGCAACTTGGAGAGGGAAGGGTTTATCTCTTCTTACAACTCTCGGGTCACCACTCCATCGCCACTGCCGAGGGCAGTCGGGGCAGGGACTCAGGGCAGGAACCTGGACGCAGGAACTGGAGCAGAGGCCACAGGGAGATGCAGCTTACAGCTTACTGGCTTGCTCCCCTCAGCTTGCTCAACCTTTCTCATATGACCACCTGCCCTGGGGTGGCACCACCCACAATGGGCTGGGCCTTTCCATGTCACTCATCAATCAAGAAAAAAAAAACTGCACAGGCCAGTCTGGTGGGGGCCGTTTTCTCAATTGAGATTCTCTCTTCCCAAATGACGCTGGCTGGTACCCATCTGATAAAACACTAGCCAGCGCTGCTACATGTGGTTTCTCTATGTGGGCCTGCCTGACCCATCACAGGCCCTCACTCATCACCTTATTACCCGTTACCAAGGGAACATCGGGCAGGGTGGAGGAAGGTCCAGGGTGGTGGGTGTGTTATTAGCCATCACTGCAAGCAAGAATAACATCGGTTCACACGACAGCCTGTGTCGGAGAGGTGGCTGGTCTGGGTTGAATACCTTCCTAAGACAGTCCACATCCCATCCCCCATGCCTTCGTGGGGCCTGATTTGGAAACAGTTAGGTGAAGTTGCCGAGGGGATCTCAGATTACCATCCTAGTAATTATCTGAGTGGGTTCCTAACCCAACAGCAGGGATTCTTGTGGGACAGAGGAGGAGACACTAGAGGACCCATCAGGGAGATGACTGAGAAGACAGCTGGGCTGGTAGGGACTGCAGGGCCACCAATGCTGGAGAGAAGTCTGGATGTCCCAACCTCAGGCTTCTGGGATATAGGGCAATGCACTTCTGTGGGCTCAGCTGCCAGCCTGGGTCACTTGTACAGCAGCAAAGGAAATCTAATGCCAACTGTACCCTGGGCAGACTGTCCTGTGGTAATGTCACTTGAAGAAGAGATGGATGTCCACAGAGGTTGCCTGTCCTGGGGCAGCCAAGAACCCCCCCCCAACTTCTTTCTGCAGGGCCTGCCCTGGGCCAGCCGAGGGTCCTTCTGAGGTCTCTTGGGGGGCATAGGGGTCAGCCAGCTCACACTCAATGCATGTACAGTCCTTGTCTGTGAGTCACAATCAGAGAAGGTGCCTCAGATCCTTCCAGTATTTCAGCGTGGAGGTGGGGCTGTAGCTCATTTGGTAGAGTGCTTGCCTATCGTACTAAAAGGCCGGGGTTCAATCCCCAGCCCTGCATAAAACCTGGGGTATATGAGGATTGATCTAAAACCATAAATAAATGAAAAGATCTCCTGGCCTAGGTTCCTCCTACTTCCCACTTCCGAAAGAGAGACCCACAGAGGTTTTCTCTGAGGCCACATGGGGGACATGGAGGACTGCGGGCGGACACGCCTTGTGTAAGACCGGGCCTCCTCACTGGGCTAGGTGGACACTGGAGCTCTGGTTGGTTCCGGAGAGACCGACCCTCTTGGACTCAGTTGGACATGGAGGAAAATCATCCTCCTGGTGGCGTGGCAGTTGTTGGGAAATCACCATAGAAACACTTTGTGAGGACCACCCAGGGCTGTGGTCAGGCTGAGTTTCCGTAAGGCCAGTGTCTGGAGCCGGTGTCTTTATGCCCACAGCCCTGTGTGTCGCAGTTGTCAAGAGCTGATTTCTCTCAGGTGTGTGTGCATTTGACTAACTTTTTTTTAAGAGTTGCCATGGTCATGGCATTTTTTGTTTGTTTTTTAAATTTATTTAGTATGTATACAGGCCATGAGGTGTGGCAGCAGGGCGCTCTACCTGCTGAGCCATCTTTTCAGCCTGGGAACCCGGTTCTTGGTCAAAGCGACCTCTGCTTACGTGGTGGAGGCTCTGAGTCAGGCTCTGAGTCAGTGGCTAAGGGCAACGTGGGGCGTTCCACGGCAGAGCTCCCGACAGTGCGAGGATTGCCTCCTGTGGACAACTTCCAGTGGTGCTTCCAGGAGGGCAGATCCAAGAGACAGACCCTGCGCACAAGCCAGAGGACAGATGGCTCTGAAAGGGCCCCTCTCCCACCCCCCCACTCCCTTCCCCACTCCTCCAGGCTGCCCATAGAACTTTACGGGGGACGGATGGTACCAGCTCCTGGGGAAGCCCCATGCAGCCCCGAGAACCCACCCCAGGTTCTTCAGGGTCCTCACGGGCATCAGAGGTGGGGCTCAGCCTTGTGGTGAAGCATCCCAAGTGGTGGAGCACTAGCCTCTAGCGTGTGTGAGGCCTGGGACCCTTAAAAAGAGGGCAAGGGTGGGGACCCACAGATTTTTGCAAAATGCTATGTCACAGCATCGGGAAATCAAGATGAGAATCCACTCTTTAAGGCCGGGGTTCCGAGTCTTCTGCAGGAAGATAATGGCTTCACCTGGGACTTTAAAAACACAAGCTGTGAAGCTGCTGCCTCCCCAGGAAGGCTGGGTGTGGGTAGTTGCGACATCTGCTGGCCAATCTGGGAACAGCCCCCTGAAAAGTCCCTGGAATAGGCTACTGGGCCCCAGGGCCAATCCAAGCTCTGGGGCCCCCAAACCATATTCCCCTAGTCTTGGGCATTGCCCCCTGGCTCCTCGCCCCCGCCCCTGACCTGTGTACCCATGTGGGGGTCATCTACATGCAATGTGTCATCACTTGTGCCTAGATGAATCCACCATTACCAGATAGATAATGTACATTCAAATCCCAGCCTGTATCGGTGACTGATCATCTTCGGAAAGCAGAGCCTTTGATGATGGCCAGGTAAAGCGGAGGCAGTTAGGGTGCGCCTGTGCAAATATGTCAGGGACCCTTACAAAAGAGGAAGTGGACACAACTGTGTAAAGACGGCCACAGGCTGAGGGACACCCAGAGTGGGCTGGCAACATACAGAGGAAGACGTGTGTGTCCTCAGGAGTCAGGAGGAGTCCTTCCCCCGCCCCGCCCCACCCCGCCCCACACACTGTGGTCCTGGTAGGCTGCTCTCAGGAATCTCGCTGCATGCTGCTGTTGCTTCCAACAAGCCAGTCCGTGGTCTGTCCTGGCAGCCCGGCGTGCGACACAGTGGCCCTTACTCACGGTGAGAATGCTGCTGACTTCGTAGCAAAATTGAGACAGGGTTATTTCCACTTCAGCAGAAGCCGGGTGTCCGAGTGGCCAAAATGGACAAGTATGCAGATTCCTCACGATGTGAGGCCATGCGTTTTTGTAGTCCCCAAATCTGAAGATCCCTGCCCTTTTCCGCCACGGGCTGGGACAGAGTGTTGCTGCCCTTCCTGCTTGTCTAGCACGGAGCCCTCCCTTCCTGCATCCTCCCGGGGCTGGAGATTCTCCTCCCCTTTTCTGATACATGGCTTCTGTCTTGCAGCAGATGGGGCTTTCAACCTCAAGGTGAACTGAGGGTGTCTACAGACAGGCAGGCTCCAGCTGCTTATGCCCTCTGCTGGGGACAGGCACAGATCACCTGCTCAGCTGTGGCTCTACTAGACGCCTCAGACAGAAAATGGACCACGATGATTTACCCCTTACACCCTGGACGTGTGCATGCCACAGAAAGACATTTGCTTATTGTCTTAAAGGCATTTAACTGGTCATCTGCCCCTCCCTTGTCAGTAGCTCATCCCCCATTATCCACAGAGACAGGAGCCCGGGTGGGGATCTCTTACGTCGTGGCGGCTGCTTTCTATCCGTGTCCCAGTGACCTCAGCCCTGTCAACTAGACTCTGAAGAAGCCACGACGTAAAAGGTCTTGCAGGCTGACTGACTAGCCCTGGAGACTATCAAGAGACGGACGACAGGTCCAGAGCTAAAGCGACCCTGGGCTGTCACTCACTCCTGAATCTAACCCAGGTCTCGTGGGTGACTGATGGGCCACATCGTCTTAGCAGACCATTATCTCCACCAACCCAGGCACACGGCTGGAAACCCTGTGGGAGCAGGTGCTCCGACACCCTCCACGGCTTTCCTCCTAAGAGTTCTTCCTCTCTGACCCAGAGGCCTGGTAGTTTCTGCCAGCACCCACACACCTGTGCCGGTCTGGCCTGTTTCTGCAGAAGGGGAAGTGTTTCTGGCAAATGCTCCCTCGGTGATTACTGCTTTATCTCCCCCCCCCCTTGGTTTTTGCTTTGGATCCTGTCCTGGAACTCGCTCTGTAGACCAGGCCGACCTCGAACTCACAGAGATCCGCCTGCCTCTGCCTCCTGAGTGAAGATGTGCGCCACCATGCCTGGCTTGCTGTATCTCGTGTGCAGCACCCCACAACAAAAAAAAGGCTTTGGGGTGACGGGGGGGGGGGGGGGAGAGTAAGAGGGAACATGACGGGGTCAGCCAAGTCAGAAGTGCCCACTGGTGAAGGTAGGATTTAAACTGCCATGGATGCACAGCCCTTGGAGCCTGCGGGGACAGAGCAATGGAGGATGGCATGGGGGGGGGGGCTGTCAGTTAGACTCTTGGAAGGACAGCTGGGTCCAGGACTGCAGGCCAGGAGACGTGCCTATTATGAAGAGCATACGTGCGCCACCCACTTAAAGGAACCATTCTTCCACGGAGAACCCGCTGGATTGGATGAAGTGGGCTAAGGAGGGCGTCTGTCCCAAGAAGGCTTTGCAGGGCCCAAGAACGGCCAATGGGGTTTTCTTCCTAAGCCCTCTCAGCAGCACTAGTCTGCGATGTGGTAGCTCACTCGTGCGAATCATGCCCGACATCCAATCATGCCCGCACACACCCTAGACGTGGCCCTCAGGTACCCAACCACCGCAGTGCACAAACCGTAAGAAGCCACAAACCCAAGGGTGGCCCTCGATGCCCGCATGCACACACATGGCGGGCAGCACACACCCTGAGATGTCTGTACCTATCTGAGGTGCCCACACACGGGGCGTGCACAGTCCCCGGAAGCCAACACCCCCGTGGCCGCGCTTCCAAACACCCCCCCCACCGCCCCCGAGCAGGCACGCACACCTCCGCGGAGCGCCACGCCCCGAACCGCACCGTAACCTTGGAGAAGGTGAAGGGCGCCCTGAGCCACTGCGCGCGGACGCACTGTCGGGGCGACGCCCCTGGCGCCAGCCCCGCCTTCCGCGCGAGTCAGCGGCTTCCCTTTTCCACCTCGGTCCTCAGCCAGGAACCTCCCCGGGCAACCTGCACCTTTCCCGTCGAGTAAACAGGAAGTGGCTCCGCGCGTGGCGGCTGCTTCCGGCCCGGGGGGCCCGCCGCGATTATGAACGGCAACGCGCTGGAGCCAATCGCAGGAGACGGCCGGGAGAAAAGCCAATCGGGATGTGCGGGAGGCGGATCCGGAAGGCGGGAGGGGTGGGAACCTGCACGGTACAGCCAATCGCGAGGCGGGCGGGGCGAGGGGGCGGGGCGCGGCCGGGCCGGGGCCGGGCTGACGCCGGGGCGGCGGCCGCGTCCGTGGGGACCGGCGGGTGGCTGCGCGCGATGCTGCAGCTGCGGGACACGGTGGACTCGGCGGGCACGAGCCCCACGGCGCTGCTGGCGGCCGGCGAGGATGCGGGCGCGGGCCGGCCGGGGGCGGACACACCGCTGCGCCAGACGCTGTGGCCGCTGAGCGTCCACGACCCTACCCGGCGCGCCCGTGTCAAGGAGTACTTCGTGTTCCGGCCCGGCACCATCGAGCAGGCGGTGGAGGAGATCCGCGCCGTCGTGCGACCCGTGGAGGACGGAGAGATCCAGGGGGTGTGGCTGCTGACCGAGTAAGCCGCCGAGCCGCGGGGCGAGCGGGAGAGCGGGGTGAGCGGGCGGGGACCCGTGGTGACAGGCCCTTCCCCCCGCCCCTCCAGGGTGGACCACTGGAACAACGAGAAGGAGCGGCTGGTGCTCATCACCGACCAGTCGCTGCTCATCTGCAAGTATGACTTCATCAGCCTTCGGTGCCAGCAGGTGGTCAGGGTGGCGCTCAGCGCGGTGGACACCATCTCCTGTGGAGAGTTCCAGTTTCCTCCCAAGTCGCTCAACAAGTAGGTGCACCAGCCGGCGCACTGCGTGACAGGGCCCCTGCCGGCCCTGTGAGCGGTGCTGCCCCGCTCTTCCGTGAGCGAAAGGCCTCCTCTTGAAGGACCAGCGGAAAGGGCCTTAAAAACAGGAGTTGGTGACTTTCAGGACGGCCCAGTACCTCCTTAAAAGGGATGCTGGCACAGTCGGCCGCTCTGCCGGCACGAAAATCCACTTACCTGTTAGGGTGTGTGCAAGCCTAGCCCCACTGTTAAAAGCCCTGTTGCATACTGAGCACTCCCCAGACCGGGCATTTTAACCCCTAGCGGGATGGGAACACAGGGTATGTGTTCAGTCTTTTTCTGCTTGTTGTTTGAAAGCAGATTATTGACTGGTTGGTTGACTGACTGAACGTACTAAAAGCCGGATGTATTGAAAACACCCAACAGCCACTTTTCAAGAGCTGGTCAGCTTGCTGTGAAAGAAAGATTCTGAAGCTTAAGAGGCCCACACCCGAGTTTGAATAGGGAATCCAGGAAGCCAATGGCTACAAGCTTAAACACCATTCAGTAACACATTTAAGGAACGAACCCGTCCATAATTTGGCCAGATTGAACTGTGTGCCTGTTTCATAGGCTGTAAAGATGAGGTTTACCATCAACCAAGGCATTAACTTCTTTTTTTTTGTTGTTTTGTTTTGTTTTTAAGATTTATTTATTTTGTATATTGTCCTGCCTGTTTGTATGCCTGCAGGCCAGGAGAGGGCACCAGATCTCATTTACAGATGGTTGTGAGCTACCTTGTGGTTGCTGGGAATTGAACACAGGACCTCTGGAAGAGCAGCCAGGGCTCTTAACCTCTGAGCCATCTCTCCAGCCCCAGGGCACTTGGAAAGTACTTGAAGTGGCTTGTGGAGACCACTGTCACGCTAAGCCACGCCCTCCCCTGCCGTCCCTGATGCTGGCGGCAGTGTTGTGCCCCTGTGGTAATAAGCAAGGCTTTCCTCCCCCTCTTCCATCAGGCGAGAAGGCTTTGGGGTTCGCATCCAGTGGGACAGGCAGAGCCGCCCTTCTTTCATCAACAGATGGAACCCCTGGTCCACCAACATGCCCTACGCCACCTTCATAGAACACCCTATGGCCGGCATGGACGAGAAGACCGCGTCTCTGTGCCAGGTAAGCAGATCCCAGGCCCCTGGACCCAGCAGTGACCGGTGGGGGTACCCCGGGCTGTACGGTCTAGTGTGAGCACTTGGACGTGCAGCTTCTGATAACGGGGAAACTAGATAGCGGGGCCTGGGAACTCAGGGAGGACCCCCCCCCCATCCCGCTGCAGGATGCTCGGTCTGGGTTGGGTGAGTTAGCGTGGGGAAACCCCACAGTCCTGGCGATGGCTCTGCAGGTGCTGCTGACGGTGCAGCTCTGTACTTGGGAGGTGCTGAGGGAGCCCTGAGGTTCTTCAGAGGGGCAGACACGGCAGCACACGGAGCATCGCTTACATGCGTCCCAGATAGGTTATGGTAGGGCTGAGAGAGTCCTGTCGCTCAGTGACATCACAGTCCTCATGGGTTCCTCCGGCTGTGATATTACTGGTCACTGCTCACCCGTGTGTACAGTGAGTGGTGACGGGATTGTTAAGGGACCAGCCACCCTGTGTCACTTGAGAGCATGTGCGTCTTCGTAAGAGGTCCACTGCCTGTTGTAGTGTGTACAGAGCATGTGCGTCTGCGTAAGAGGTCCACCGCCTGTTGTGCTGGCAGCACCTTGTCTGTGGGGCGCTGCTGAGTCTCTTGAGTCTGTTGTGCTGGCAGCACCATGTCTGTGGGGCGCTGCTGAGTCTCTTGGTTGCATCTTGAGTGACAGAGTGGTACTATCTATACTTGTCTGGACTTAACGCAAGTCCTGTTGTGATGTCCGCACGGCACGAGTTGTTTGGTGACACAGCTCTTAGCGCTTGACCTGTCGTTGGAACATCCCAGATCCTCCTCTCCTGGTGTAGTGGAGCAGTGTGGTCTACCTCGAGGCTAAGCCTCCATGTTTGTTCTCTCTTTAAAGCTGGAAAGCTTCCAGGCTCTCTTGATCCAAGCTGTCAAGAAAGCCCAGAAGGAAAGCCCACTGCCAGGACAGGCGAACAGCGTGCTGGTGCTGGAGCGCCCACTCCTCATCGAGACCTACGTGGGACTCATGTCCTTCATTAACAACGAAGCCAAGCTGGGTTACTCCATGACTAGGGGCAAGATAGGCTTCTAGACGGCCGTGTCCTCAAGAAAACCAAGGTTGTGGGGATTCAGTGTGCAACCTCATGCTACCCACCATGGCTGGAGAGAGCACAGGCAATGTCCCTTTAGGTGTCTGATTAGAATAGTCAAGTGAATTATATATATATATATATATATCTAGTTGGATATTAGACACCTTGGCAACTTGATAGGTGAAGGCAGGAATACTGACTGTCCCATGCCACTGTGTTCCTTCTGTAACTCCACATAAGTGTTTCCTCCATGTCCCTGCGGGGCTTGTTCTTCCTGCCCTGCCCCTCCAGCATGCCTAGCAGGGTGTGCCCGCCCCTTCTGCTCCGTGGACTGCTGAACACGAGACGGAGCACAGTGATTCTGGAGCCTGCACCGCTACTGCACAAGCGTTAACACCCCCCCCCCCCGTCAAGTTTTGTATTTTAAAATTCAGCCCATTTTTTCAAAGCTAAATACAATAGCAGTCCGTAGACCAGTTACCAAGAAAGGCTGCCTGCCTTCTGTGAGTGCATGTGACCTAAAGCCACGCTTTGTAAAATTAATCCAGGTTGGGTTAACTCAGCAATTTTCCTAGGCCCAGAAAAGGTCCATTTCATGACATAATCCAGCCCCTCCCGGAAGTTGTGGTAGTGGGTTTACATCATCGTGTCTCTGTTTAAAAGGGACTGAGTGGTTTGGTTTAAGAAGTGCATGTTTATTAATAAACAGACCAGCCTGGACCCCAGGCACCATCAGCCTTCCTGAGCTTTGCAGGGCTTCAGCACGCCAACCTCACACAGCTTTGCAGGGCTTCAGCACGCCAACCTCACACAGCTTGTCCCTGAGCTTCGCAGGGCTTCAGCACGCCAACCTCACACAGCTTGTCCCTGAGCTTCGCAGGGCTTCAGCGCGCCAACCTCACACAGCTTGCCCCACAGCTCTACCACTTGCCAATACAACTCTAGTTGCTGGCCTGTCACGTGACACCCCTGCCCCGCTTTAAGTTAACCAGCATGGATGTGACTAGGATGTCAGGGCCTGTCCAGGTGGAAAGGTGACCTCGGATGCACCCGGTCTTCACCCTGTGCTTTTGGTCTCATAGTAAAGACGTTGAAAACCAAATGAAGTTGCTTCATTTTGAAGTTACTACCGCATAAACAGGTGTGCCAGCCGAAGACTGCCTTTGAGGCCTGAGGGGCTGAATGTGCTCCTGGCTGTGGACCCTCCCTAGAGGTTCTCTTCACAGAAACTCAGATGGGCAAGTGCACAGTCAGGTTAGAATCCTGGTTCGCAAGCCCAGCTCTAGTCTGGCTGCTTTCAAGGCATTTGCTGGAGGTTGTGTAAGTATGTTGGGTGGGCTGAGCACTTTTGACTCTACCAGGCGGAAACCCAGGATAACCGCCTTGCCAGGCCAGAGACCTGCCCAACTGCTGTGAACTCGCATCCCACATGGGGACAGGCACGGTGCTGGGGCCTCAGCACTTTTGAGGACATCCTGCTGCAGAGGGCTGGACAGGTCAGACAGCAGCCACCCTTGCTCCAGAGCACCCTGACAACAGCCCAGGGGACAGCAAAGAGTCATAAGGGAGGTAGGTGGGTTACTTCCGGGTTCTTCATCCCCCCCCCCAGACAGGCCTTGAGGAAAACAATCACCAGTTTTCTGTGGATTAGCAAATACCTATTTTATATTACAACTTTATACATATTTACAGAAACACCTCACTCCAGACAACCGAGCACCGAGTATCCCATCTGGAGAGCCTGTGTAGCTGTTGCTTGTGTTGGGACCAGCAGAATCCGCTGCCTCTGTTTCCATCTGGTCCTACGCATGGCCATCCCGTTGTCCACAGGCTGTGCCAACCCCCTCCTTGGTCTCCAGGAAGCAGAGACAGAAGTGATCCTTGCTAAGGAGGGCCAAGGAATCCCCACTTAAATGCCAGCACAGTCCAAGCACTGGAAAGTCACCTAGAGAGACAGGTGGTCACAGAGTGAGAGCAGAAACCAGGACCAGGGAGGACAGCCTGGGATGAGTGAGGAACCTGGTCCCTCTCAGTGTGCACACTAGGGCAGCAGGTCCCCTCAGTGTGCACACTATAGGACAGCAGGTCCTTCTCTGTGCACACTATAGGACAGCAGGTTCCTCTCTGTGCACACTATAGGACAGCAGGTCCCCTCAGTGTGCACACTATAGGGCAGCAGGTCCTTCTCAGTGTGCACACTATAGGGCAGCAGGTTCCTCTCAGTGTCATACTATAGGGCAGCAGGTCCTTCTCAGTGTGCACACTATAGGGCAGCAGGTCCTTCTCAGTGTGCACACTATAGGGCAGCAGGTTCCTCTCAGTGTGCACACTATAGGACAGCAGGTCCCTTCAGTGTGCACACTATAGGACAGCGGGTCCCCTTTCAGTGTACATACTAGGCAAGGTCCTACAAGGTTGCTGAAAGACATGGGGGGGGGCATGTCACTGCTATACGTGGCAATAGGTTTCAGCAGGTTAGCCTTGCTGAGCCACCATGTCCCTGTCTGTGGGCATCTGCTCACCTTCCCCAGGTACCTGCACCGACACACAGCCTGCTGGGGACCACAAGTACACCTTGCTGCCTCCTGTACAGATGGCCAGCCGCGGCTGCTGAGGGTCCCACTGAAATGAGCGTACTGGAGACATGTGCTCTAGGACCACAAACAGCTTCAACTTCTGAATGTCCCAGACCCAGACAGCATTGGGGACATTGTCTGCAAGAGAACAGAGATAGGACATGGTGTTAGTGCTGACCCTCTTCAAGCAAACCCTGGCTCAAAGGTGTACTGGTTTCTTTCTCAGGGACTAGCACCCAGAACAAAGGAAAGGCCTCCAAAAGCCACAAAACCCTTTTTTTCCTCTGGTTTTTTACATTTGCAAATGTAGAAACATGCAAACAAAACCAGGCCCACAGAGACTAACGCTGGACCAATGCTCCTGCACAGTGAGGGCCTGCAGGAGGGAGCAGCGGTCGCCAGAGTGCGGCTGACTAGCAAGGAGCTACGGCGCACAATGTGCTCTTCGCAGAGAACCAGGGGTGACAGCACAAAGCACCTCCTGAGCTTCCTTTCTCCACTCCGCTCTGCTCTTGGCATCAAAGGGTGCAGTGAGCAGCTCACCTGCCTGTGAGTGTGACACTGACCGTTTCTTGTTGCCAGGAAGTAGCTGTCAGAACTGAAAGCCAGCATCCCTACACCCATCCTAGGGTTTGCTCTGTCAGCTACTGGCTTCAGAGTCTGCAAGGAAACTGGTCCAGAGGCGATCTCATCTGGAACACCAACAGGGAGGACAAGCTGAGGGCGCTGTTAGAGTGGGGGAGGGGAGCAAGCAGACAGGGAAGGAAAACATGCCAGCAAGTGTGGGGCAGACTTGCTGGGTGGAGGCTTAAAAATCCAACAGCTGTGCTAAGAGGTCTGGCACAAGTTCCCTAGGGGACAACAGTTCTGCTGCCTAGAGGGTCCCACGTGGGGACAGGACCATGCAGTCTAGAGCCACAGTGGAAGGGAATAATGTGCTCAGGTCTGCTTTCTGAGCTAGCCCCAGCTACCTGCACATCCAGCAGGTCTACCCATTTCCAGCATCTCTGCAGGCGGCCACCCTTTTCCAGCTGGGAGCTGAAGGGAGATTATCAACCAGTACCAGATGTTAGACAAACGCCAGCTGGCATGAGCGGCACCTCTCAAGCCTGGCTCCCTCAACCCTGCAAGCCCGCACTGGCCAGCTGATGTCCCCTCACATCTTCAGTCTGAAGTCCCTGCCCATTTCCCTGCCGGGCAGGAAGTGGAAGCTCAGAGTCCTATTCCAGAAAAGACTTGAGCCACCAAGTATATGTCTGCCCCTATTCTCCATCCTCCCAAATCCCTCTGAGGTCCATTCAGAGAATTGTGTCTAAAAGATGCCTTACAGGGCCAGGACAGTTAACTCAAGCTATCCTGACAGACTCATGACGGCACAGGGACTGCAGGGCAGTGTGGGAAAGGTGACCCCACCTCAAATCAAAATCTCCCCCACCCTGGCAGCACCCGAGATTCACGTGGACAGGAGTCTCATCTAAGAAAGAACGAGCTTTCTCTCTGCTGCTTACATTTGCTCTCTGAAGTAGAGAGGGCACCAGCCATTGCTCGGGGTGGGAAGGACAGGTGGCCCATCCCCAGCTGTGGGATCTTCTCAGCTTCCTTATATACAACCTGAAAAATACGACGTGGCCACTGACCAGTTTGACAAGAACCTGGGGCTCAAGGGAAGGTGGCCCAACTTAAGTGCCAGAGGCCACGGCCACCGGGAAGCAGCAGCGCCCACCTGGCTCCTTGCAGGGAAAGCCAGCTCAGCTGCCACAGCAGTCCCGCTGGCCAGGCTGTCCTTTAGAGACGGGCACTGACCACATGGCTGTATATGGCGAACAGTGTAACAGCTTTGCGGAAGTGGCCTGTGGGTGCCAGACCAGAGGCCAGTGAGTAGCAAGGCTGTGGGAGCAGCAAACAGACAGGCCTGACAGTCTTGCTGCTAGTGTGGATCTTAAACGCCACGAGTTGGGGCTTGGCTGCCAGCCTGTGGCACTACTGGGGAGTGGCGGTAACTTTAAGTGGTTTGTGGGGGAAGGTAGGTCACTGGAGGTGTTTTTGAAGCCCATATGGGGACCTCACCTGTCCTTCCTCTCTGCTTCCTGACCACTGTAAGAGTAGCTCTGCTCTGACATTCCTTCCTTACCACAATGTACTGTCTCGACACAGACCCAAAGTAACCAGCAAAGGGACCTTGGACTGAAGCCTTGAAAATTAGGAGCCAGATACACCCTTTAAATCCTTTAAATTGATCCTCTCCCGGATTATGTCTCTGTCCCAGTGACATAAAGCTGACCCATGCAGCACAGCCCCAGGTAGAGAAAACACGGCACATATGAAGAAAATTAGACGCGTGAACCATAGGCAAACCTTGGCAGCCTCCATGGCCGGCCAGCCTTGCACTCTTGCTATCCCTACCCTGAGCTCTGGCCAAGGTCCGCCACAGCTACTAGACGAGCACTCTAAGTCAAAGCCTCGCCTCTACCCAGCTCTTCCTTCTTGCAGGGCTCTGGCCTGTAGCCCTGGCCCTCCCTTGTTCTCCGCAGGTCTACCATCTCAGTGGATGGGTGACCTCTACAGGGAAGCAGAGGTCTGTCCTTGCTGCAGACCACTTGCAGAAGACAGCAGACTCAGCACTACAGAGCTACGGAACACGCCTTCAACTGTAGAATCTTTGAACTCCCTGATTCCTGGACCCGGGCTGCCCCTAAGCCAAGGTCTGCACAGGACCTGCTTGTCTGTTGACCCAGAGCACAGTGCCTGGTAGGATGGCAGATGCTCAGGGTTCCCCAGTCCCCTCTGAAAACACCAGGGGCCTGCAGAGGATGGAGCAAGAATGAACACAGCATCTGGCTGGGACAGAGGCGCGGTCCAGAGGAGCCTGGCTGGGACAGAGGCGCGGTCCAGAGGAGCCTGGACTAGACCTGCCCCTGACAAAGGAGTGTGTGAGGAGGCAGGGCAGGGAAGACAACATCACAGCACCGAGAAACCACCATGCTCAAGTGAAGATGTATGAAGACTTACTGTCTTGGGATTATTAATGGCGGCAGGATGCCCAAACTCGGTGATCATCTTCCAGGTCACGTGATTAAGGAGGCGCACCTGGGGAAGGAACCGTGAGAATGGCATGCGGGCAGCTCACAGAGCTGCCAGGTGAGCTGCCAGTGTCCTGCAACTCGGGGAGTTGGCCTGGGCTTCCCCACCTTTCCGTCGTAGCTCCCAACGGCCAGGAACTGACTGCTCGGACTCCAAGCCACAGACTTGATGCCCAGGGACCACTCGTAGGCGCAGTATGCTGAGAGCAGGCGGCCATCCAAGGAGTAGAGCAGAATCTTGTACTGCAACGAGACATCAGGACACGTCACAGGCAGTGAGCGCGGTGCTTCAGTGCCTAGCCGCACTAAAAGCACACGCAGGGACCCGCGGGTGAATGCTCTCAAAAAAAAGAGTGTGCTGTTGACCATGCGCTATACCTCCAAGCAGGTGTCCCACGCTGCCAGCACACAGCCATTCGGGGCCCACTCGATCCCTGTGAGATCCT